GGCCCACGCCGCTGCCCACGCGCGCGGGCTGGAGCGGCGCACAGCCGGGGCTGCGGCGCCCCGAGGCCCCCGCGCAGGAGGGCCGGCTGGATAGAAAACCCAACTGGCAAGCTGAAAAGAAGGGTTAGACGATTCTTGTGTTCACCGTAAGAGAGCTAATGTTGGTGAAGATCTCCTGATCAACATGACCTGTATGTTACATGCAGCCTTGTTCAGTTGCTAACCTACCAGTGATCCTGGTAGGCGCCACCATCCTGATTTCTTCTGCTACTCGGACTCAACATAACAGTCCTGAAGGCTGCATCCCGATGGGGAGATAACCCTAATACAGAGAGCCAAAGGTCCTCTGAAATGAAAGAATGACTGTAAGTCAATCATCTTATCCTATAAATATGTGGACAGCCTGAGAGCCCTTTGAGCTCTCCTTGCATGGCAGTGGGTTTGCACACCAGGATCTCCCCTTGAGCAGGGATGCCTCTCCAGGTTTACTCCTCAAGGTTGAGAGATGCCTTTCCACAACAGATTTGTGGTAAGTGAATATAGCACGCTCTGTTTCTTTAACTTTACTTTGTAACTGTGCACAGAAACCCTTAGTCATAAACCGTTGACCAGGTCTGGGACTGGGATTGGATCCAGCCACACCCAGACTCTCTCAGGAGGAGCCTGGAGAGCAAGGGGGTCCAATCTGAACCTCGTGACCCAACGGGAGGGTATTCCAAGATAATTGTGTATTATCTTGAGCCTCCATGCAGTGAATAATAAGTGACCTTGCCATAGAATCTTGTGATATTATTATCCGTATTAATAAATCGTATTGTTAGTTCTTCATACGAGTGAGGTTCATTTTGTCGCTCACCCCTGCCGCCACTCGTTCTGTGACAGCATCTCAGTTGGAAAAACACCTCGGGTCTGATGTAGGATCACTAATAATTAGTGATGACATTGCATGATGACATATATAGTGATGACAGTGAATGACATTAAGAAGAAAGTTAGAAGACAGGATCACTAAATATTAGTGATTCACAGATTCACAGAATATTTAAGGTTGGAAGGGACCTCTACAGATCATCTAGTCCAACCTTCCTGCTCAAGCAGGCACACCTAGAGCATGTGGCACAGGGTGGCATCCAGGCGGGTTTTGAAGACCTCCAGAGTAGGAGACTCCACAACCTCCCTGGGCAGCCTGTTCCACTGCTCTGTCACCCTCACAGGAAAGAAGTTCCTCCTCACCTGGAGAGTGCTTTTAGTCCTACATCAGACTAAATATTAGTGATCCTATCCTCTAACTTTTTTCTTAATGTCATTCTTAAAACTAACTCTCTTGCTGTAGTTTAAATATAATCTTGGCTATTTGGGCAGTAATTTCTGAATCTGAGTTAATTTGGGAATTTTATTCTTCCGCAATGCTTTGTGCTATTTTAAACCTTCCTAGTTTTAGATTGCCAGAATATGCCAAGTGTTAGTGCTTGTACCAAATAACTGGGAATAAGATCCTTAAAAAAAAATCAAATCAAACTATGGTATTTTACTTAAGATTTTGAAAGATCATGAAAATGTGAAATTGGATGAGAGTTTGCCTTGACTCCATCCGAAAACTGTTTTGAACACTTATCCGATCACAGCTGCTGAGCTCGATTCTTGCAGCACATTGATCTGAAAGGCAAACAAGCTTTGAGACAGTGAGCTTGAAATATGGTCCCTCACACTGCCTTGTGGCTCAAAGATTGTTGTTTCTTCATCCAGTGGTAGAAAAGTAGAGAAGTTAACTAGTTAAGTGTGGAAAAGAACATAATTGATAGGCAAGGCGAGTACAAATTGCGTACTTGAAACAGTGCATTGAATCAACTATATAAAGCATGGAATTGAACAGGAAAGGAACAGTAACAATGCAACACCACATAACATACAGGAGATAATGCCTTTAACCCACGGGGCACCTGGAAGCCAAGAGAAATGATCAAATTCCCAGCCCTTCCAAGTTTGGATGGAAACATGAGCCTGTTTTCATATTTCTGATCTGATTTGCTTAACAGCTTCGCCATTGTTGTCAATTTTTAAACAGTTAGAATCATATAATCCTTAAGGTTGGAAAGGACTTTTAGAGATCATCTAGTCCACCTTCCACCGCACATGCAGGGTCACCTAGAACATGTGACAGAATCATTTAGTTTACCATAGACATCCTCTTCTTTGGCTAGTAGGTAGTTGAAATCCATGTGATGTTGAAATGCTGCTGTTCACATTTGTGTGGCTTGATCTGCCAATAGATCAAGGTCGCAGGCAGTCTCATTGGTAATAATTTGTAGGGCAACATGAAACCACATGATGTGATTTAAGTTATAAATAGGTTCTTGAGCATCACTAACCAGTTCACTAGAGTTCTGGCTTGTCCCTAATGCTGTATAATTCATTCTGGTGGCCACTCATCTTTTCTCCAATTCTGAGTGCTCCTACTAGTAAGGGAGGTATTGATTGATCTTTTTTTCTCTTCCTGGATAAAAAAAGGGATTGGACCAAAATTTTTGAAAAGAGGTTCTGGTTGAATTTATGTGTTGCCAAGTCCAATGGAACACTCATGCTACAAAATTCTCTGCAGTAGTATTACCTTGCTGACAAGTTAAAAAAAACATATCAAACCCTGGAACCCGTGTCACCAAGTGTTTTTGGGTAACTGAACGTGAATCTGAATTTACTTGCCCATATACCTTGAACAGTTAGAGGTCTGCATCCTGTGTAACATTAGGGATAAAAATGCAACAGTGAGAACTGGAGAGGTTTAGGTAGTCCATTTAGTCCATTTTATTGTAACAGCATCAAGTGCAGAATTGATGATGGAGCTACTGTATACTCAGAGGTACTCATATGAAGTATCGGTGTCATTAGCCATTTTGTCTACCTGATAGGCTTGCTTACTTAACTGTAATTTCATTCGCATGGTAGCACCACTAAAAAAAAAAAAAACCAAAAACCAGAAGTCCTCCCAGTCACCAGGCTGTGCTGGTAGCTGCTTCTGGGTTCTGCCACCCCTTGCATGTCCCAACAGGTCCATTTTTGTTCATTTTGCTCAAACCATCCAGTGAGGTCAGACAGGA